TTTTTTTTCCTTTCTGTATTCAGGACAGGGTCTGCTGGGTCTTCAGGGTCTCACTACATAGATCAGACTTGTAGTGATTCTCCTGTTTTCAGCCTCCCAATTGCTAGGATTACAGGCCAGTCTCAATCGCCTTCTCAGCGGATTTTGGATTTCTTTATTTACCAACGTATAAATATAGCATAATACCCTGGCTATGGTAAGCAAGATAAGGCATCCATAACAGAAACACTTGAACACTATAACGTCAATTACTTTTTATTCAGGAAAAACATGTCAGGGACAGTTAATTTTCACTGTAGTTGTGTCCCAGTATAGCTAGGTTGTAAATTTGGCTCATTTTGTGGCTTTTAACAACTGGTAACTTCCGAGTCTCCCTAAAATAATTCAGTACCAGGAACTATGTTTGGTTGTATTTGGCTAAGCAGATCTACACAATATTGATGGTGATGATTAAAGTCCGGTTAGAAGAACATAAAAATCGTGCTCTATGCCACAAATGTCATAATGCTACTTATGCACTTGTGAAGTAATTTATTTAGCTTAGAATTCAGGTCAGACCAGAAACAAAATTACTCAGCTTCACTCCAGGACCCACCTCAAGTAACCAGAAAGAACAAATGGACTGCGGATTTCTTTGCAAAGGTTTGGGATCAAGCTTGCTTTACTCATTTTTCTAAGTATAAAACCTTGTTGGCCTTTAAAATGCAATTTAGAAATGTAGCTCATGTATTTTTTTTTTGCCACCAGTAAAACAAAAACATAAGACAAAATTAATGCACGCTCGTTTCAGTCTGTAAGATTTGTTTTTTAAATTACTGCTTGCAGCCAGGGGAAATACATGAGATCATTTCTTTTCCTCTGCCAACAGCAAACTGCTTTTCCCACCCCACGTGGCCAGCGGAGCAGAAAGCGTGCAGGAGTCTCCCGGCTCGCGCACCCATCTGCAGGCACACATGCGCCCCGACTGGGAAACTGGCTGCGGACCGGGCAAGGCGAAGTCTGCGAGGCGCCTCCCGTTCAATCACAGCGGTCGCGCCAAGTCGCTCCCGGGTGCGTACACCGCATCCGTCCACAGAACAGGAAAAGACCTAAAGCGTAGAGAGGACGCAGTCGCAGCGAGCCATTTTTTGTATTAGACATACACTGTACTCTCCCCACGTGCGCTCTGAGGGCTGGATAACGCGCGCGTATACACACACACACACACACACACACACACACACACACACACACAGTGGCTCGCAGCTCATCCTGAATCTCACCAGGCTGGGCCCTGACATGTCCCTTGCCCGTCCCCAAGTCCCCGCCCCTTGCTCCCCACCCACCGGGGCTCCACGTGGGCGCACCCGGGCGCCAGGCGGCCCACGCAGCCCCTTGCTGGCCCCAGAGCTGGGAGGGAAGGCGAGGCCGGGGTCGGACGGACAAAGCAGGCGTCCAATGGAGCCCGGCTCTGCCACCCCGAAGGGAGGGATCGGCGGCTCGAATGGGCCCAATGAGCTGGGAGCCCGAGTGGGACTTCCTCCCGGAATCCCGTTGGCCAGAATAGCGGGGCCGCGGGTGACACGTAAGTTGGGTGGGAGGTGGCGGCGGCCGAGGCTGAGGCTGGAGCAGTCCCGTCAGTGACACCGGCTCGCCCGTCCCCGCGTTGCGCTCGGTCCCGGTCAGCCCGCTCGCAGTCAGCTGCCGCGCGGGCGCCGCCGGTACCTTTGTTGGGCGTGCGCCCTCTGCTTTCGGGAGAGGTGGCCGCAAAGTCGCGGAGTGGCTTTCGGAGCGAGGGGGAGGGGAGCGGTCAGGGCGGGACTCCGCGAGTCTCCAGGGATAGTGGGGCCAAAAGTGGGGAGCAGGAGCACAGCGGCGGCGGGCGGCGTCTGGGGACCGGCGCGGCGGCCGGGAGAAGTATGCGGAGGGCCCCCGCCCGGGCCCGGGCTCGCGCGCACCGCCAGCCCCGCACAAGTTCGGCGGCCGCTGCCCGGGCGGCGTCGATGGCTGCGCGTCCCGCCGCGCGCGGGGGCTGAGCGGGCGCCACCTCCCCCACGGCCCCGCTTTTGTGTCTCGCGTCTCCTCCTCATGCCGCGTCCCGCCACCCGGAGCGGGGACCGCTGCTGAGGCGCGCGCTCGCTCGGAGGAGGAGTGGACACGGCGGCGACGGCTGCGGCTCCGGGCACAGGCGGGACTATGGGCAACGGGATGTGCTCCCGAAAACAGAAGCGGATCTTCCAGACGCTGCTCCTGCTGACCGTGGTGTTCGGCTTTCTCTACGGCGCGATGCTCTACTACGAGCTGCAGACGCAACTGCGGAAAGCCGAGGCGGTGGCGCTCAAGTACCAGCAGCACCAGGAGTCTCTCTCTGCCCAGTTGCAAGGTACGGTTAGCGGGACGCGCGCGGCCAGTGGCAAACTTTTCTCCTCCGCGAGAGTGGCTTTGGTGTCTCATTGTCACCGCAGGTGCCACCTCTGACCTTCATGGGTTTCTGAGAGCGTGGACCAAGGTTGCGGTGTGGGGGGCGGAGGGGCAGGGTCAGAGACTCTGACCTCCCCATCTTTCGTCCTCTTCTCAGCGGTTACCTTTGAAATCAAATCGGATGCCGCAGCCTGTGGTCCGGCGTTTCCCATAGCACTTGTCAAAGGCCCGGCCGAAAAGCCTGCCAGGCTCTCTGCCAGCCCATCCCGAGGGGACACGGTGCCTGGTTTTTAGGTGTTTGCTTTCCCGTGGATTTTCTCAGTCACCTTCTCAAACTGCTGGTTTTCGAGGAAAAACAAAAACAAAAACTATTATTAAACCCAAATTTATGGGCCTGTCAAAAGGAACTTAGATCTGCTAGGATTTTTTTTTTTTCTTCTTTTTACTCTCTTAGTTTAACAGGTGACTTGAGATGTAGGGTGTGGGAGAAGTACACGCTGTTCACTACCTTGCAGGTTTTTGAAATTTTTCTAAAGTTTGTCTTTCTGAGTAGCTTTTAGCTCATTACACAGTTCGTGCGTGTGCATGTGCATGTTTCACAAGTAGTCTTATGAAGCCAAAGGGAAGAAACACACATTTTGACCGTTCTGGGCACAGCAAACAAAATTGGAATCAAAACCTGTAGAAAGACTTAAAGCTCCTTCTGTGTTAGCCATTTTCTTTCATGTAAATTTCAGGAATATAAATGGTGCATGACTGCAAGCTAAGGCATGCTTGGGTTTGTTACAGGGATATAATGTATATGTTTATAAACACACACACACACACACACACACACACATACACACAGAGGAAGAGGAGACAGAGAGAAAGCTTTTAGCTCTCACCTGTACTTGTGGTTTATTTAGGGAACCCCCCTCCCCACCAAAGCAGTAAGTAGTGAAATGCTGATAGCTTTTGCTGATAATGCAAATACAGCCTATTTTATATTTCCAGACAGAAGGGGGTTTCTCTGTGTGTGTGTATACAAATATAAAACAGATGCCTTTTCCTTGCTCTAGGTATTCTGAGTGTTTTCTAGTAAAACATTTAAGATGAGAGAAAACGATATGCAGCTGATTGCTTGGTCTTATTTGTTCTTCCCAACTTAGAAGAAAGGAAAATATTTTTAGCACACTGAGCCACAGGCAATAAGAATAATGTGGCTGGACTTGGTTCAAAATGAAAATCTGTTTTGATACACTCTTAGGCTAAAAAATCCTGAAACTTGTTGTTGAAATGTGCCCATGAGTTGTATTGGAAGGGAGGCTGTTTACTTAATCATTTAGAAGTTAGTTATCAACAGTTTCCTGGTGAATTTTAGTGCAGTTAGACCAAGGGAGATGTTAATGTCTAGTAGTACAACAAGAGGACTGTCAGAGATACAACTGCGAAGGGTGTGCCTCGGGGTTACTTACTTTTGCTTCTTAGTTGAGGAGACTCCTAGAGGCTGGGGCTGTGTGTTCAGCATTGTAACCAGAGTGCTGCACAAGTGCTATCCAGTGGTTGACAGCAGTGATGGTCAGTATATATTTATTCACACTCGCAGCAAAAAGTCTGACCCCTGGTGAGAAAGTTAATCCCAAACACTTTGATCTCCTTTCCTAGGTTTCATGTCTGTGTCTCTGTTTCTTGAAAATCCAACTAAATAGCAAAATATTTTGCCCGGGAGCTCCATTGCCTCAGTTACTGATGCATTTCTTAATCACAGACTTCATTTGTCCCACTTTGAAAATCAACCTGAGGGCTGGGGAAATAGCTTAGTGGTCTAAGTGCCTGCCTGGCAAGTGCAAGAACCTGAGTTCAGTCCCTGGTACTGCATGCCCTGCTGGCCCCAGAACCCTATGCATGCTGTGCTGGCTCCAATCTCAGGTGTGCTGGTGCATGACAGTAATCCCAGAGCTGGGGAGGCTGAGCCAGGAGGATCACTACGAGTCTGAACTGTGTAGTGAGACCCCGTATCCAATAAATAAATAATTAAATAATTAAAAGAAAATCAACCTTAATTTTCTCACTCTAATTCTTGCTGGTGGTGTTGAGTGGTGGTGCTGGTAAATGGCAATACAGAATTGTTAAGATGGAAATGTGCTTCTCTAGTTTGAATGGGTGGGCTTCACTAATTCATTTCTTAATTTACTCTTTTGCCATTTGCTTTTGAGTTGTTGTGCTGTGACATTGACAGTATGATTGCGTGGGAAGAATTATTTTACCATCAGGTTCAAGCTTCTCTTTAAAATGGATTCGTTCTCAACTTCTGTAAAATTTACTTTGCATTTCACATCTGCAATTTGATGATCATTTTCTGACGACACACAGCTTTTGCTTTTCTTTCCAGTGACTAATGATGTTTTCTTCAGCTGGGCTACGTACCACCTACATAGGTGGGTTTCTGGATCATTAGATGCTGCCTTCTTGAGATTTGTTTAATTAGGTGGGTTCTGTTGGCCTGGGTTGGATTAAGAGTGGCTTTCCTTTAAAATGTGCCTCACGCAAAAGCTTAAGCAGTTTGGTTCTATAATCTGTTAGCAGTATCCACTTGTTAAGTAAGCATATGTAGGTCATCTTCTATTGAACAATAGGTTATACTCTAGAGCGTCCTTTGAAGGTAGGCTATTTTTACCCCAAGTACATTTTGTTATATGAGACTGACATGCTACCTACTGCGCTAACGGGGTACCTGTATACATTTTATTCTAGAATAGTCTCATATGGTGTGGAGAGTTGACTGAGAAAAAAGTTAAGCCTGCACAACACCCTCAACTAAAGGAAATCTGCCTATCTATCCACCTATCTCCCTTTTGCTCTCCCTCCCATTATAGCACAGTAATTATACTGAGAAATAGGGCAGAGGCCACATGCTGGTGGCAAAGGAAATAAATTTTGGCCTGTACAGCACTTACTTAACATTAAAACCTATTTTTGCTGTTCTCAAGCCATGCATATATCCTTCTCTGTGTCTGTACGCAGTGTGTCTCGGGTGGAACAGCCCAGTAGGGTCACCCAGTGGCCCCCAGACCAGTTGGACCACCACCTGCTGGGGAGGGGAAGCCCAGGCTTTCCACTCTTTAAAGCTCTGCAGCTGATTCCAAGTCCAGGGAGCAGCCTTCATTGAGAATCACACCTCCATAATCTTACAGTGCAGCCTCTTTAGACATTTCCTGTCCTTGCTGGCCTTAAATAGTATTAGCCTCTTCCCAAGCATGTATTAAAAACAGACTTGTTTCCCTACTATGATTCAAATTTTACTTTTGCATTTTCTGTGTCTGAATTTGGATCTCGTTCTCATTTCTAAAACGGAGATTAGAATGACTCATAGGTTTATTGTGAGAACTAAATAATATAGCATTCACAGATCCCTTAGCACAGACGTGGCACGTAGTAGGACCTGCTTACAAAAGCAGGGCTATTGTTGCAGTCAGAGCGCTTCTCTGATGTCAGATAGTTCTTCTCATTTTCTCATGGTATGGCTGGGCTAAAATCCTGAAACTGACTGGATTTCTCTATAAAGAGAAATGGAGCAGAGGTCACGTGCTGGTGGCAAAGGAAATAAATTTTGGCCTGCACAGCACTTATTTAACATTAAAACATATTTTTGCTGTTCTCAAGCCATGTGTGTGTCCTTCTATGTGTCTGTACACAGTGTGTCTTGGGTGGAACAGCCCAGTAGGGTCACCTAGCGGTCCCCATGTACTTTGGTGCCCCATTAGCACAGTAGGTAGCATGTCAGTCTCATATAACAAAATGTACTTGAGGTAAAAATAACCTACTTTCAAAGGACTCTCTAGAGTATAACCTATTGTTCAATAGAAGATGACCTACATATGCTTAATTAGTCACCCCCTTTTTTGTTATTTCTAGATGAATATCAAGAAAAATAGTAAAGCCAGTGTACTTTGGAGAAGAGCTCTTCCTTGACATAAATATATACTATAGTGACAGATGAACTCTGGATCATATCAGATGAGGAGAGGAATGCAACTTCTCAGGCAATAACCATGTGCAGTAAGAGCTGGGAAAAAGAATTTTGAGCCTTTTAAAAAGAGGTGGTGAAGTGTAGAGGCAAAGAGTCCTATATTTCTACGACACTGTATTATAATATGCATTGTGCTGCTTTTGCTGTTCCAAGTAGCGATCAGGAACCATTGAAAAGGCTCTACATAATGTGAATGTGCGGATGGATGCAGTTTCAGATCGCTATTTTCACCATTGTACTTACTATAGTAAAAAATGCTTGGTGCTTCTAGGTGTCAGGTTGTTTGTTGTGCTTGTGTCCTGTTCCTCTGTACCTTTAGCCTCTGGTGCACCAGCCTAAGCATGAGGACACGTTATTATTGGTTACTTTATTATCCACAAGTCCTATTGAAAAAGAAAAGGTCAGAACCAGGCTGCTTCTAGTCTTCCTCCTCCACCTCCTCCTCCTTCTTCATTTATTTATTTATTTATTTATTTATATTTTTCTTTTTCTTTTTTGCAGAACCAGGGATTGAACTCAGGCCCTTGCGCTTGCCAGGGAAGCGCATATTCCACTGGGCCATCTCCCCAGCCCCTTATTTTTTTAAAGTTAATGGATTTATTTCTTTTTATTTTATTTTTTTCCCATAATTTTATTGATAAACAAATGAGACAGTTTCAAATCACATTGGTAGGTCAGTTTCAATAATTAACACATTGCATACATTCTTCCTAGTGGTTAATTGCTATACAAGATGCAGACATGTTATCCTATTTACAAACACCATTAGAACAAATCACTCTATTCATTAAGAGAATGTAACTATATATCTATCCTAAAAACCACTTTGAAAACACAGATACAAAATGGACATTCATCTGTATACCCTTTATTTGTTAAGTTCCGTTATTTGAATATCATTTATTTATTTTTAAAAATTCTTTATCTATAGTGCCTCGTTCATGCCCTGT